TTGCATCCCTGAGATGAATCCCATTTGGTCATGATGAATAATATTTTGATGTATTGTTGGATCTGATTTGCTAATATTTTGTTAAGGATTTTGGCATGTGTGTTCATCAGGAATATTGGCCTGTAGTTTTATTTCTTTGTAGTGTCATTATCTGGTTTTGGAATTAGAATTATGTTGGCCTTATAAAATGAGTTTGGAAGTCTTCTGTCTTCTTGGAATTTTTTGGACTAGTTTGAGGAGAGTGGGTGTTAGATCTTTATTGAATGTTTGGTAAAACTCCCCTGTGAAGCCCTTTGAGCCTGGGCTTTTGTTTGCTGGGAGTTTCTTAATTACATCTTCAATTTCCTTAGTTGTTATCAGTCTATTCAAGTTTTCTATCTCTTCCTGGTTCAGTTTTGGGAGACTGTGTGTTTCTAGAAATTTGTCCATTCTGCCTAGATTGTCCAATTTGTTGGTGTCTCTAGCTCATAGTATGTTTTAATGATACTTCGTATTTCTGTGGTGTCAATTGTTACTTCTCCTCTTTCATTTCTGCTTTTGTTTATTTGGGTCTTCTCTTTTTGTTTCTTGGTGAGTCTGGCATAGGGACCATCAATCTTGTTTATCTTTTCAAAGAATCAGCTCTTTGTTTCATTGATCTTTTGAATTGTTATTTTATATTTTCAGTTTCTATGTTATTTCTGCTCTGACATTCATCTTTTCTTTTCTTCTACTTGCTCTCAGTTTTTTTGCTTTTATTTTTGTTTACTTTTTAGTTCTTTGAGTTGTAGGGTTAGAAAGTCAATTAGGAATTTTTCTTGTTTCTCGAGGTAGGCTTGTAGTGCTATGAACTTCCCTCTCAGGACTGCTTTCGCTGACTGTGTTGTTGTGTGTTCATTTTCAATGGGTTTCAGGAAGTTTTAATTTCTTCTCCTTTGGTAACCCATTCATTGTTTAACAACATGCTATTTAGCCTCCATGTGTTTGAATGTTTTTGCTGTAATTGATTACTAGTTTTATGCCACTGTGATCTGAGAAGTTGCTTGATATGATTTCAATCTTCTTGGATCTGTAGAGATTTGCTTTGTGTCCTAAGATGTGGTCTATCTTCGAGAATGTTTCATGAGCACTTGAGAAGAATGTATATTCTGCAGCTGTGAGGTAAAATGTTCTGTAAATATCAATTAAGTCCAGCTGATCTAGTTGGTCATTTAAGGAATATGTGTTCCTGTTAATTTTTTGTCTAGAAGATCTATTCAGTGGTGTTCAGTGGGGTGTTAAAGTCACCCACTATGATTGTATTGCTATTGATCTCTCCTATGAACTCCTCCAGAAGATTTTTAACATATTTTAGTGCTATGTTCGGTGCATATATGTTTACCAGGGTTATATCCTCTTGTTAGATTGTTCCTTTTAATATTATGTAGTGACCTTCTTTGTCTCTTATTATGGGCCTCGGTTTGAAGTCTCTCTCATCAGATATGATTATTGCTACACCAGCTTTTTTTCATTTCCATCTGCCTGGAAAATTTTTTTCACCCCTTCACTTTCATCCTGTGTGAGTCTTTTGTTGTGAGGTGGGTCTCTTGTAGATAGCATATATAAGGGTCATGTTTTCTTATCCAATCATCTACACTATGTCTCTTGATAGGGGCATTTAGGCCATTTACATTTAAGGTTATTATTGATAGATACTTAGTTGCCATTTTTATTTATGCCTGTGTTCCTCTCTCTCTATTTCCTCTTCTTCTTACAGCAGTCCCTTTAGCATTGTGTGCAGTGCTGGTTTGGTAGTGGCAAATTCCTTTAGTTTTTTTTTTTTTTTTTGTCTGTGAAGCTCTTTTTTTCACCTTAAGTTGTGAATGATAGTCTTGCTGGATAGAGTAGTCTTGGATTCATACCCTTGCCTTTCATTACTTTGTATACTTCATGCCACTCCCTTCTAGTCTGCAGTGTTTCTATTGAGAAATCAGCTGACAGTCTAATGGGAGTTCTCTTGGAAATAACTTTCTGTCTCTCTCTTGCTTTCTTTAAGATTCTTTCTTTGTCTTTAATGTTTGCCATTTTAATTATGATGTATCTAGCTGTGGATCTTTATGGGTTCATCTTGCTTGGGACTCTCTGTGTTTCCCGGACTTGTGTGACTTTTTCCTTCACCAAATTAGGGAAGTTTTCTGTCATTATTTCTTCAAACAGGTTCTCTATTTCTTTCTCTGATTCTTCTCCTTCTGGTACCTCTATGATGTGAATGTTGTTATGCTTTGTGTTGTTCCAAAGTTCCCTTAAACTCTCCTCCTGTTTTTTTAATATTATTCCCCTCCCCATTTGCTGCTCTGTTTGGGCATTTTCTTCTACCTTGTCTTCTAACTCATTGATTTGGTCTTCAGCTTCTTCTAATCTACTATTGTATCCTTCTAAGGTATTTTTCATATCAGCTATGTCATTCTTTATTTCCTCTTGATTTTTATTTATAGCTTCTACCTCTTTTTTAAAGCTGACGTAGTTGCTGCAGAGCTCTCTATAATTCTCATTAAGTTGCTTGTAGTTCTCACTGAATTGTTTGAGGACTCTTAGAATCATTGCTTTGAATTATTTATCTGACAAATTGCTTTTTTCCATTTCCTGTAGTTTCTTTTCTGGTGATTCCTTCTTTTCTTTCATTTGGGTGTTATTTCTTTGTCTCCTCGTTTTAGCTGTCTAGTAGTTCTAGACCTATTGAGGAATGTTGGGATGTGTAGGCATGTCAGTATGTATCAAACAAGGCTGCTGTCTTCTCAGACCTTTCTGGTGCATGGTGCCTCTTGCCTGCCTGCTGTGGGTCCTGGAGGATTGAGTACTGGCAGCTGGTATTGGTCTGTCCTGGTAGGCGCTGCTGCTGTATAGCACAGGCCCCACTGGGACCATGGCACCTGCTGGTGACACAGATAGCTGTATCTCATGGGCCCCGCTGGAGCTCCATGTCCCACTGCTGGTGGCTGGGGAGTGCTTTTGCCTGGTGGGGCTCAGCTCCTGCTCAGCCTCTGCTGATGCTTTGGGGATGAGTCTCAGCTGCTGATCTTTGCTGCTGCTGCCTATGGATAGATGTCTGCTCCTGAGCCTTTGTTATTGGGTGTGTGTCTTGGCTCTGATCAGGCTGCTGCTGTGGGGCATAATGTTGGGCTCCCAGCTGCTTGCTTCCACAGCAGGCACAGCACTGCTCCTGTGCACTGGCCTATGTCCACACAGTGGGATCCACTGGTCCAATAGTGCGAGGTGCACTGGTGGGGTCAGGTTGCTGGGCCCTGGCTGCTCCTGCTGCCTCCTCCCAGAAAAGACCATGGATCTTCCAAAATGGTGGGGTCTCTCAGCTATGCTGAGAGAAGGGCCCTGAGGAGCTGCTTTGCTCCTGGTCCACAGCACTGGAGCCTTCTACCCTGCATTTCTGCACTGCTCAAGGTTGCTCATCTAAACTCACATCTATTCACACCCTCTCTCACACTTGCTCACTCTCTCACATACTCACCCTCCCATTGGACCTGCCTGCTACCATCTTCCTGTATTGTTGACAATATTAGAGATGTCCCCCTTTGCTCTCCTCCACCCAGTTCTCCATCCCAGGCCTTTACCACCTTGTTGTCTGTGGGCATGGGCAATGCATAAATGCATATAAATTCTTTGGTTAATCTCTTCCTGCACTCTCCCCCTGCTCCCCTCTAAGGTTCTTTAGTCTGTGCTATGTTTCCATGCCTCTGGTTCTATTTTATTAAATTTATTTACTGATTTATTTTTTGTTAATCCTCACCCAAGGGTATTTTTCCATTGATTTTTAGATAGAGTCAAAGGGAGGGAGAGAGGAACATCGATGTGAGAGAGACACATTGATTGGCTGCCTCCCACATGACCCTGACTGGGGTGAGTATTGAGCCTGCAGCCTAGGTATGTGCCCTTTCTAGGAATTGAACCCGAGACCCTTCTTTCTGTGGGCCAACACTCCAACTGCTGAGTCAAACTGGCCAGAGCACCTCTGGTTGTATTTTATTTCTCAGTTTATTTTGTTCATTAGATTGCACATATAAGTGAGATCATGTGATATTTGTCTTTCTCAGACTGGGTTATTTTGCTTAGCATAATAATTTCTAGGTTCCTTTATGCTGTCTCAAAGGGTAAGAGAGTTTCCTTTTTTCATAGTTGCTTAATATTCCATTGTATTTTATACATAATAAATATATTATACACATTAAATATTTTATATACTATTTTGCATTTAATTATATATATATTTGCATTGACCTGTACTATTTCATATAAAACATTTATGTACATATAATTATTATTATAATTATTACTATTGTTGTTGTTTACTCTATCTCCCTGTAGGGATAGAGAAGTCATGGGTAGGCTTTTTAATTTTCTTGCTTTCATCTGTGCCTATAGATGCAGAGTCCCTGGTTTCTGTACAGAGTGTTTTGTAATATGCAGAACAGAGCTTAAGTTGGATTAAAACTGACTCCAACATCTGAAAAATTATAATCAACAATGAATGCCATGTAAATATTATTTCTCAGATTACTATGTTGTTTCTCTTTTAGATACCTTTATTCAATTTTGTAATAATTTGATTTATTTCTTGTCCTATTTCAAAGGCTTTTTATTTCTCAAGTAAATAGCATAAGACAGAAATGTATCAAAATATCTTATTCATCATGTGTCTAGTTTTAGATACTGTTATCCCCAATAACTCTTGATTCAGAAAAGTAAGGTGGTTCTGAAAACGATAGGCATGGTCTCTTTCACTTGTTTTATTGGAACCAGAATAAGGGTAGAGTTATTCTGTGTCTTCAAAATCATCAACAATCCATGAATTATGCTTAGCTTCCATTAGCAATAATGTCCCTTATATAGCCACTGTCATCAATTTAAAGTTACATCCTTGTCTTGATGGTAACTGTGACATTACATCAACCCCCACAAAACCACTTCCTTTCCAGCAAGTAGAAAACACCGGGGAACATGAATTTTGCTGTCATTTTTTTCAACACTGACAGAGAGGATTTTGTCTATTAGTGACCAAGATGAAATCAGACCGTTGGTATTTCTTTCTCTTCTGCTTCCAAGTTGAAGTTCTAACAGGTAAGTGGCCTATTGAATATTTTTTATTAAGTTATAATTCAAGTGAACAGTAATAAAAATCAAAGGTAGAAAATGTAGGCATCAAATAGAAAAAAAAAAAATTGAAAGTAAGAAAAGTTGCGGAAGCCCCTAAGTACATGAGTGTCTAAGGGCATTTGTCACCCACACCAGTGTTGATGGCATTGAGCTTGTACTGCTTCCTTTGATATTATGTTCTAAAAAGAAAAATGCTTCATCAGACCATTAAAAATTTAAATTACCTGCTTGGAATTACCTTTTAGTGGATAAAGTAAAAGAGTGACCTGCTATTCTTAGAGAAAGATGAAAGGCAGAAAGACTTGTATCAACAGAATGAAAATGAAAAGTCCTGGCATTGTTCTGAAAATTATTTCTGAAGGAGAAAATGAAATGGAAAGACTTTGAACAGAAAGAATTTTGATTTTAATTTTGTCTAGGTGGTCTTTTGTCAGAAATGTCCAGGCCTCCAGAGTATTTTCAACAGAGTTTCAGAGTCCCTTTAAAAGGCCATGGAGTAGTGGATGATGTAAAAACATACCCTAGCCCTTGTAGACATTAAAAAAAAAAAAAAATCTGAGGTCCTCAGTTCTTTCTCTTAGATGGTATACATCAGACTCTATTTGAACAATTTAAATAATGCTATCTATAATTAAACTAATATACATATTTCTACTGCTTCTTAGTCTATACATTTTATTTAATATTACATTTATTTTATCCTTAACTCTGAGCAATGTTCTTGAGGCTGGAGAAAAAAAATGAAATTATATTAAATTGGGGAATTCTATTAACACTGAAAGAGAAATCAGAACTTTTAGTAGGTATAATCTTATGTAGAAATAAATTTTTTAGCCATACCAGGAAATAGACTACTTTTTGCTCCAAAAAATAAAAAACAAAAGCAGGCTGATAAAATGTTACATCTTGTGGTGGCTCAAGGTGTCTCAGATACTCTTAAGTAAAGAAGAATGAAGCATAGGGAATTAGGGTATACTTATAAGTCCCAAGGGAAGTTTGGGACAACTTGTTTGTGTAACTATGGCTTTTCTATAACCCAATGGAATCCTCTAGCAGCATAAACAACAAATGAGTAGCTTCAGAATTAATATAGTCATTCATTAATTTACTCACTCACTCACTCACTCACTCACTCACTCATCCACTTATTTACACAGTACCAAGCACTTGCTGTGCAGGAGATATTGTGCTAGCTGCTGCACATACAATGATGAGCAAAACTAGCTCAGCCTCTGCTCTCATGAAGCTAACTGAATGGTTGGGAGAGAGGCATTAATCAAATAATCCCATGAATTAATGAGAATTACAGATAGAACTCAGTTCTAACATAGAATGTAATAAAGAAGCCTGTTTAGACTGGGTGGGTGTGGAAGTGGTATTGGGGAGCATGGTTCATTGAAGTCTTTCATGTGGAAGTGGTACTTGAATGGATATTTAAAGGACAACTAGGAGTAAATGGGGAGAATGGTGTGAGGGTGGGGAGGAACATTCCATACCATGAGAAGAGTAAGTGCAAAGGACCTGTGACAGGAGGGAATAAAGTACAGCAGGGAATTAGAAGAAGGTGATGTGCCTGAGTACAGAGAAGAAAGGCGTTGGGGATGGTGCAAGATGAGGTTGGGAAGGAAAGCAGAATTGCAACGATGCTGTGTATAGAGAGATTTGCACATGTTAGGTCTATGAAATTTTGTGAGACTGCTCCTTCACTGGACAATAAAAATAAATTTAAAAAAAATTTAAAAAATTTAAAGACACACACACACACAAGGCACATAGGAAGGTATGTCAAATGTGTTTGTGTCCTTAGGCGATACTTGCAATGTCACAGTAGTAAATAACTTACTACTTTTTGATAACTTCTTTGTTCTGTTGGAACACTGAATTCTTCAGTGCATATGTATATATGAATACAAATTGAAATCTCTGTCTCCTGGAATTATACAACTGGGCTTGTTTACCTCTATGTGCTGATGATGACTACTTTTTTTTCTAAGTTCAATGTGGAGACTTGAAATTTGAATGCCCCTTCCAACTTTTATATTAAAAAAAAAAGAGGAAGACAGACTCAAGAGTTTTGATTCAGTCAGTCACTAGTTCTGATAGAATCTCTTGTTTGTCTGAGCCATGTTGACCTAGACAAGGCGCTTTCGGTAATCAAGTGAAGATAATTTAAAATATAACATTTTTGAATTTGAAAAATCAAACATTTAGCAGACAACATTTATAATTTCTCAGGGCTCAGCACCAAAAGAATCCATTCATGAAAAACAACAACAATAATAACACCATCACCAACAATAAAACCTCCACTGTACTCACAAAGTTCTTTTCATTTTGTACTATCTAGGTCTAAGGCAAGAATCTCATAGTACTATCTGCACTTATTTAATTATGATGAAAGTGTATATGTGAATCCATATTTTCACATTCTCTAGGTAGATAGGCCACAGAATAATCATTAAGAATTTATACCCTGTTAAAACAAAGACCCAGACTTGTTGCAGGTTTAATGTGTTAAGCACATGTAATTTCATATCATACAAATTATAATTATTTGGTGTATGATAACCCTTTCAATCACAGCATACACGTGACACAATTGTGACTAATTTAATAATTTGGGACAATTATATACCCAATATATCTTGAAGGAAAAGAAATATCTGAAAATACCTTTTAAATCTAGCCTAATGTACTAAGTGGCTCTTTAAGAGTGTGGACTCTGGTCTCAGATAATCTAGGTCCAAATTATAGCTTTACTACATTTTGGCTCTATAATCTTGAGCCAGTAATTTAAAATCACAGTTTCTTCATCTGTAAAACAGGGATAAAAATAGACAATATGACTGAAAAGGCTGCTATGAACTACAAATGATATATTGCATGTAATACATTTAACACAGTACTCAATACATAAGAAGCACTTCATGCTTACAAGTTATTGTTGTTATTATTTTTTGGAAGCTTTTGAAAGCTTAGATATTTATATAACTTCCAGACCTATTGGGTTTCAGAAAATTGGCTAAAAATTATTCAGTATTGAAACCAGAAAAGTCAACATTCATGCTGTCACTACCAGAACCAATAAGTAGAGACAAGGATTGAATTAAAAAAAATTTTATTTTATTCCTCACCTGAGGATATTTTTCTATTTATCATTAGATAGAGTGGAAGGAAGGAAGAGAGAGAGAGAGAGAGAGAGAGAGAGAGAGAGAGAGAGAGGGAGAAACATCAATGTGATAGAGCCACATCGACTGGTTGTCTGCCGCATGACCTGACTAGAGCAGGGGATGAACTGCAACAGAGGTATGTGCCCTTGACCAGAATCGAACCCATGACCTTTTGGTCCATGGGCCGAGGCTCTAATCACTGAGCCAAACCAGCCAGGGCAAGAATTGAATTTTTATGGGTGCTTTATTCAGATGGCCGGTGATCTGAGAAGACCATGAGTTATGTATCCTAAAGACGATCTTCCATCTCATCTCAAGTCAACCCCTTTTATAAGGAGAAGAGTATAGGTAAAGGGTTTGAGATTCAGGAAAAAAGGTTAATCAGATAAAAGCTCTAGTCTGGTGATTTTCCTAGTATCCCTTCATCTGATGACCAGTGATTCCTTATCGTCCTGGGTGGCAGCGTTTTCTCCCTGGAGCACAATGATTCAGAGACTAACTATCTTGGTCACCTGCAGTCCTCCTGGGGCACAAAGGTCAGATTGCTAGTGGGTCTCCTGAAGTCAGGGCAGGTTCAGTCATATATCCCAGTCCCTGGAACAATAGCTTTCTACATGCATTAATCACCAAACCTATAAACTATATAACTAAGGTTAAACTTTTTTTAACTTCTTAAGTTCCCCATCATTATGAGTCATTGTCTTTGGACTGGGAAACAAGTGTTCTCTAATATCCAGTAAATAGATTGTCTTACCCTGCCTTTCTTGCTCTTCTTCTCAGCCTGTTGCAGGACATTTACCAACCATGAGCAACCTCCATATTCTTCTTTGTGTTCATTCATTTAATATTATTGAGCTTCTAATATGTTCCAGGTCCTGGAATCATTTAGGGGATCATGATGCAGTCCCTATTCTTGTGAAGCTCATCGTTAAGTGAGAAAGGCAAAAATAATTATGCTCTAAGCATATATGAATTATAAATATATTAGTGTAAGCAAAGTGCTATTGGGAGAATAGAGATGGGAGTTGTTTTTTGGGGGGTGAGGGGGTCTCAGAGACCAATTCAAAATGGTTCTTAGAGAATGAATGAGGGTTTATAGATAAATAAAGAGGGTAATAGAATATTCTAGTCTATGGAAATGGAAGTAACAATGTAAAGAGAATGGCCAGAAAATTCAGAATGGCCAAAAATTTAGTATGACAGTCTGTGAGATTGTAAAAAAATTTTGTGTTAAGCCAAAAAAAAAAAAAAAAAAAAAAAAAAACTAACAACAACACAAAAAGATTTACCTTATAAGCAACAATGGAATCAAATGTTTTAAGCTAGGGAATAAAATGCTTTTTAGCAATACAATACAATTTGGGGAGCAATCTGGAAGACTCAGAGGGGAGAGACTGTTGTTGAAAAAGACAGTCAAGAAAATGCTCCCACAGGTTAAGAAAGAAATGAAAAGATTTGGAACAGCAATGGGATTGGAAACAAACAATTAAATTCAAGAGATATCCTTGAATTAGAGTTCACTGAACTTGGTGACCAACTGGATCAGGAGAGTCAGAAAGGGAGAAACGAGGATAGCTCTGAGATTCTGAGAGTCAGACTAGTGACTCCCTTAAAGGATGAAAATTGGATCTGTGAGTGGATATTGAACTCAGTTTGGAAATGTTACTCCTAATGTGTCAGGGAATTTTCAGATGAAGATGTTGAAAGGAAATTGGAAATATTCCCTGGAGCCAAAGGGAGGTGTGGGCTTGAGGGAAAGGTATGGGTCATCGGAGTAGAGATGAGCCTTACATG